AGGAGCTCTCGCAGGTGCCCGCCCTCGTCATCATCTACCGCGGCCTGCTCCGCTGGCGGGAGCGTTGTGAAAAAAGTGGCGAACAGGAAGAAGAGCCGGTGCCGGCCAACTATCGCGAGAAGGCGCAGCTGAAGGCGCTGATAGTGGAGGAGATGGAGCGCTTCAAGGAGAAGGAACACCAGCAGAAGGAGAAAGAAGAAGAGGAAGAGAAGAAATGTAATGATAAAGAAGAAGAAGAGGACGAGACGGATGTGCAGACCGGCGTCGGGCCGGCACTGCTCGACCTGGAGAACTACGAGGAGGCGCTGAAAATGCTCAACTCGGTCTTCACCGACTCGCGGCGCATTCCCGCGGGCGTGCAGAAGCTACTGGATGAGGTGGTGGTGGTGGCTGATGAGCAATGTCATCAACAGCAACCACAGCCGCAGCAGTCATCGAAAAATCACCCTCACAGCCAAAAAGCTCGGCCCAACAGCTCTGCGTCCTTCTGGGCGATGATCAGCGCTCTGCGAGCCTTTGTCGCCCAGTTCGGCACCCTCCCGCTCGCCGGCTCTCTGCCCGACATGAACTGCGGCTCGGAGCAGTACGCCCGTCTGCAGCGGATCTACCGGGCGAAGGCGAGGGCGGACGCAGAGGCCCTCCTGGCGCTGCTCCAGAAGCAGCAGCAGAAGACTTGCGCCACAACTTCAACTGCCAACGGAGCAGCAGAAGCAGCAACAGCGGCGGCAGTCTCCGTCTCCGAGGTGGACCTCGCGCTCTTCTGCCGAAACGCCCGCTTCCTGACGGTGCTGCGGTGCGCCGGGCCGATGGCCGAGGAGCTGACCACCGGGTCGGCGGCGCTGCGGGCGCTGGCCAGCTGCCCGCAGCTGCAGAGTGGCGCCGATGAGGGGGAGGGCGGCGAGGAGGGCGGCGGCGGCGCCGGCTCCTCGCAGTACGACATGCTGCGCCTCTACCTGCTGATGCGACTGGTGGAGCGCTTCACCGGAAAGCACAACCGCCACCCGGGACAGCGGGATGACGAGGTGGAGAGTGATATTGCAGAGTTGAAGGTAGGTGAAAGACGGCTTATGAGAGCTCTTTTCCTTCTAACCCCTGTTTTCCTTTCCTTTCCTTAGCGCGAATTTCGCGACCTCTCCAGCGACCTCGGCTGCAACATGTTCATCCAGGACGAGCTGATTCATGAGATGTAAGTGACTTGATGTGATGTGTGATGTGTGTTTAAACAACAACGTTTCTAATTTCTCTCTCTCTCTCTCTCTCTCTCTCTCTCTCTCTCT